GAAGGACAGGAAGGCCTGGCACAATATGGTTCATGGGGTCACGAAGAGTCGGACACGACTTAACGACTGAATAACAACAACTATATACACACACACACACAGAGTAAGCACATTCATTCAAGGAAGGATACTGTGACATTACTTTTATACAAGGCTAATTTTTACACTTCCAGTCTAGGGTTATCCTTCTGAAACAGCCTTATGACTTCTTATGCTGTTTTGAAGATGTATTAGTTGCCTTGTCAAAGAGAGTATGATGATGTTACAACAACCAATTTTTACTTACTAGAAAGCAGATAGTTCTGCCCTTACCAATTAAGTATACAGACAACAAAAAAACAATGTTCAACATTCTCTTGTAAGAAAAAAAATACAGTGGGTTTTTGAAATAAAGCTCTTTGGATCTTTTTACTGAAAGTCAAAGTACAAGAGGTACTAGTTTGCTACAAGTCAGTAGTTCAAATTGTATTCCAAGAAACACTGAACTGGGACTTCTCAAGCAAAGCAATAAAGGTGGAAAAAGTTTTGTGAACTTCTGTTGTTCTGGAAGCCTCTGTAGCTAGAGATCTACCCCTCAAAGGAGTTAAGAAAACAAACTTCTGCTTCTGCTCTAAAGAACCTGTTTCTTTTGCCAACGTTAGGAACTAGGTGTGGGTCCTGAAGTTAACCTTTGATTTATCAGACAGAGGAACAAAAAAAAGCTTCAATGAATAAATAACATCACCGCAGCAACTCAGTGCACTGGGGAATAAGTCCCAATGAACTAACTCCTGTTTTGATTACACAAGAACCTTTTCTATTACTAGGACTATAAACCAAATTCCCAATATGGTGCCCAGAGCACAGTAATACACCCAAAGAATCTCCCTTGGTACCTCAGGCTTCCTAACCTATCTGGCATTTCCCCTTTTCAAAAAAGAAACGGGGAACGAACCTGCGGACAACCACCAGAGTCCAGCATCTTATTTCCAAGAACGGCCCCCAACCTTCCTCACAACATTAAAAAGAACGGGAGGCTGCAGCCGGATACCCTTCACTAGGCTGTCCTCCTGCTGACCCCAGGAGCGTCAGGATAAGCAAAAGCAGGAAAAAGTGCGCTCTGGGGAGTGGCGATCAGTAGGAGCAGGAAGGAAAGGGCAGGTAGTACTCCGATAAAGCAGGGTTTGTCCCTGGTCCTGTCCCCACGGCAGCCATTTTGTTGGGAGGGCAAGCCGCCCCCCACCCCTCGTCCAGCAGCCCCTTGGGGGGGTTCAACGCACAGCATGTTCCCAGAACTGCCAGTCTACCCACCAGCCCGAAAGGTGGGAACTCCCGCGCCGACGGAAAGGAAGACGAGAGAGGGCGAAAACTTCCCAAGCGCAGGGCTCCCGCTTCTCACCTGTAGCGCAGACGACGGCCAGAGCTCCCCCCAGGACCAGGACCCTCAGCCAAGGCTGGTGGAGGCGCCCCATGTCCGCGGCACGGCACCCACCAGAGCGCCGGAACTTCCACTTCCTTTCCCGTCGGCACCCCGGGAGTTTCACCGGAGTTTCGCTGCAGCCTATAAAAAAGGAGAGGGCGGCGGGGGCGGGGCCTGTGGCCACCTTTAGGGCGGTCCCCCC